TGAAGTATTTTCTCTTGATTTAAACTCTTTGTAGCAGTGATATCCTATTATGTGTACAAATGGATGGCAAATATTAGTATTACAAGAAATGTATGTTTAAAAGAAACGCAATGACGCGAGTTTCATTTGAATAACTTAAAGCCATGACACATTATTGATGAATAAGCATACCTACTATGATATAAGCAGTATGCCAAATTGTATACAATTTAACAGTTTATTATCACATGCATTTACTTGCTTATAGAGTAAATATTACAAATGTACATTGTCTATTATTGTCTCATTATTGTTTATATGTATATGAACAATAACTTATCTTAAAAACACATTACTATATTATGATAATAATTTCCCACATTATATTATTTTTATATATCTATTTGTTTATGTCTAATTCATTTTCATTGGATATTTTTACTTGTTTTTTTTTGGGATGTACTATCAAAAAACTTTTATTAGAATACATAACAAAAATATTAAAATAGAATCGCGCTGAAATCAGTTGGACTTGCCATTCTGGGTTAAAATTACAACAAATATATCTTAAAATCTCAATATGAATCTTAAGCAATAATTTTATTTTAAAAAGAATTTTGGATTTAGTCAAATGAAAAGTGCTTCATAGTTCACTGAAACAGAAACAGTGCATGAAAATGAGTTAGGTTTGTATTATGACAAAAGCATATGACAATATGGTAGAACCGTTTGTCGTTGCCAACCCTTCTTACACACTACCCTCCTCACCTTTTTCATCGTTCTTCCCTGGCCTGATATAATTTAGTCATTTTCTTTTTTACTCTAGAACAACATATCAGCAATCCTAGTCATCACGCAATTATCTAGGCGGAAAAAAATGTCTGCTAGAACATAATATCAAAGAAACCAAATGCATTTTTAGGGCGTTTCTACCAAACTAATTGCACAGAGATAACATTACTACAGTTGAGTCGTATCTAAATGCATACGTGTTCCTTTATCAAGATAACAATTAATAAATGTATAATTTATTTTAATCTGGATGATTATATCTTGTACGATTGCGAGTTTAAAATGTGTTTCTTGGTAATCTGCAATCATGTATTCAGTAGAACATAGCTGAAAACTGAAAAACAAAATGGCCTGCAAACTAAACTATTCTAGCAACAATCATGACAGAACAATAACACTATCATGGAAAGTGATGCTAGGCAACTAATCTGTAAATTTAGAAACAATTATACGGTAATTGACTCGTATGTCTGTAGGTGTATTTTGCAACCACATAATGCTGCATTTTGTCTGTACTATGTGGGCAATGATTCTTTTGCATCTTGACTTCAAGTTTTCTTGAATTATTTTCGAGTACCCATACGCCTTTTTATACACACACACACACACACACACACACACACACACACACACACACACAAAGAGCAAAATTACACAAAAATTCTTAAAAGTCACCGAACCAAATGATACGTTCGTTATTTAGTTCCCTGCTAAGCTTTAGTCAAGATGATTTTACAGTTAATGAGATTAATCGGTCATTTTTGCCTTTCAATCAAGTTTACGCTTCTCGTACCGTAAACCAATATTATGCAACCACGTCCAATATTATCAGTAACTCTCTATCTTCATCCCAACCCTCAGTGGGGCCCCGAATTACAGAAACTATATATATAGGATGCCCAACCAACTTCAAACAGCGACGATCTGATCTATCATCACGTAACACGCTGGCAAATGAAAGTATTCTTAGATTGTCTGAGATAACGCCAAAAGAAGACAAATGGTACAAACCATACCAAAATGTCCCATGTGTAAAATAATGTAACAGGAAGATACAGGTAATCACAGAATGTAAAAAGAATAGGGAAGAAAGAAAATAATTTTACCAATACAAAATAAACAAACGTTCAACAACAAAATGTTACTGAACTTAGATGTTAAAGTAAATAACAATACTATAAAGGAAATAATTAGTTACATAGTGGGAACCATGGCAGCATGTGACCAAATAATAGTGTTAAAAAATTAGTAGGGGTGTGTAGAAAAATTCTCTTCTTTCATTCCTTCCTTTGATTCTCCTGAATTTATTTTCTATCATAGCAATAGTACTAATATTAGTACCTTAGTCCTTTTGTGGACACGGTACTAACATGAGTCTATGTATGTTACTGGAGCACCCGGTGTGATTCACACCCGGCTCTTTTTTAGCCTAAAATGAAAAATTTTGAACATGTTTTTTATATATTATGAAATTAATTGAGTAGTCCTCTTATTTAATACTGAATAATCGCAAAGCATTATAGAAATAGTGGTAAAATCTCGTTTACCTATCGTATCCGATAATTTCGTTTCGTCCGCCATATTAGTTTAAATAATGCCTACTTCCGTTCTCAGCCTCGTGTGTTTGTGGGCGATATAAGGACGTTAATGCCTTATTTGGAAACGTAAACAGATCGTTGTAAAAAAACTATATGGCGCGGTTTGAGTCTGAAATTCTGCGCATTAAAAGTAAATACGGTTTACCGGTGACGTTGAAATTCCACCAAGAAGCAATTATTTTCTCAACAAAATCGTATTCAGCAATTTATGCAAGTATCCATCTTCTCGCGTTATGTCATTCAACAACTAATACCATAGCGTAGAATATCCATATATAGTCTCACAAGCCTTATGTATAAAAGGGGTCACGGCGAGAATCTCGCGTTATCTGTCATGGTGGACACGGTGAGGTTAGCATAACTATGCCAATTTATTTTTACGTGTAAGGGCTTAATAAGTTCAAAATAAGCCAAACTTCTTTGACAAAATGATTATACTTATTTAGTAGAATTCTAAACTAATTGTGTTTCTGACTAAAGTGAGGTTTTTTTTTGTTCCATTACATGATATGGGATCAGTTCGTAGCCTCAAACACAACAAAATAAGTTGAGGCTACGACATCGTAGCTCTTATAGCAATGGACAGGGACCTACACATGGATGAAGTATGAAACGTAGACATCGCAGGGCTAAGCCACAAGGAGCTACGCAAAGTGGACCGGCCTGCGAGAGAGCCTGAGAAAACCCCATGTTTAGTACAAGGACAAGCAGAACAAACATACGGGAAGAAAACAATACAAGTCCCTTCTTAGAACCCCCGCATTTTCATCTTCCTTTTCTATCATTTTCATCTTAAACAAAACCTTTAGGACCTTGTTACAGAATATATACATCGAGTGGCATCTAAATGTAGGGAGGAGCAGAAAATAAAGCAAGTTTCTCCATACATATTGCAAAATCTCAGTGTTATAGTAACTGAGATAAAAAAGAGACGCCACACCAAATGTTCACCTAAAACCAATATGTTTATTTTAAGTTTCATTACTTTTTTAGAAACACGGTCTCTCTTTCAATGAAATCAAAATTCAAAATTTAATTTAGCCAATAAATTTTAATTCAATAAATAATTATCCATACCTTTGGATTGAAAACTTAGGAAGTTTGAATCTGATTTAAAGCCATCCTTACAAGATACCAATAGCAGTAACAACAATATAGCATACTACATATAGAAAAGGTCACAAATGGAAAACATGTAAAGGAACATTTTGAGGAAACAAAAATACATGAAATGCTTTTCAGTTTATTGACTAAGTGGGTGTGGGAGTGTGTGTGTGTGTGTGTGTGTGTGTGTGTGTGTGTGTGTGTGTGTGTGTGTGTGTGTTTGGGGGGAGGCATCTGTCTGGTGCCCCAAAAAAGAGATAAAAGGAAGACAAATTAAATCTATGCCATGATCTTGCTGGGTGCATAATCGAATGTGGGTATGTGTCGTCGCTTTTGCAGTCGAGCGTGTGTAATGCACGAGAATATATTTGTTAGACTGTCAGCCTTACCCACCCACCCCGTTCATCACTACTACCCGGTGTTTGACACGTGTTGATTAATAATTCATTAAGCGATTCGAGGAGGCTATATGGAGTTCATACGACTGCCACTCCGCTGTCAGAAACCGCTGATACCAGAGAACTAATACTCGTTTGTCTAAAACGCGGTGTTATTACTGTGGTAATCTTGACCTACAAAATACAGGACAATCGTGGGAAAAGAATGTATGTCTCAGTAATAATAATAATAATAATAATAATAATAATAATAATAATAATAATAATAATAATAATAATAATAATAATAATAATAATAATAATGTGACTGCATATATACATAGACGATATAAAAAATCTACTAAAAACGTCATATTCTTGCTTGATCTATTCGTTACGGCACATCAATATAAGGAAAAGGTTATATCGTTTCATGCTAACCTTTGAGCCACCTGTATTTTAGCCTGACCGTGTCCATTACGTATGTCTCCACTTCGTCAGGACATAAAGAAGCTTCGTGGAAACGGTCACGGTACCAGACTATGAGCCACCGTGAATTCAAAAATGCATTCGTAAAGGAGAGAAACTTAGTGGAAACGGTCAGGGTATCGGACCATGATCCAACGCGAATTCAGACAGTGCAATTTTGAACTTGTGCCGACAAAACACATGCGAAATTTGCCAGAAAAAAAATATTTTTGCATTCTTTGGTTTGAACGTACACGATTTTCTCACTGAAATCAAGATATTTTTTTTACATCATTTTACCATGTACAGCCTATCTTGAGCTGAGAAATGGCGTTAAACCCAAAAATAACATTTAGCTTTGTTTTTGCATTGGGAGATGTATTTATTTTTTTTAAATGAAAAAAGAGCGCGCGTGTGTGTGTTTGTGTGTATGTGTACGTATGTGTGTGTGTGATTTAGATTTTAACGTAGCTTTAACAACTGTTCAGTCATACCGCTAAAATATCTTTAGTGTGACAGTGTATAGTGATGTCCAGCACTGGAGCATCATGCAACAGACATGTGGCAAGATGTCCCACCGAGTCACAGTATCTGACACCAGCCAACCAGTCCTAACACTAACCTCTTAATGCTGAGAGCCAAGCAAGGCAGCTGTTAGTACCTTTTATAAAAGTCTTTGGTATGACTCAACCGGGTTTCGAACCCGCGACCTCCCGGATTCGAGACGGACGCTCTAACTACTAGGCTACCGGAGCGGTTGAAAAGAGCATGAACAAATTATTTGAAATTCGTGTACTGGAGGACCTGACTGCCACATTGTGGGGAAAATTTGCTGATGCTTCATGCATCATGTATACTCATGTTTTTTTTTTCTTCTTATAGTTAAGTCGTAGTTAAGAGCACCTTGGATAATGCCATTATATATTATGTATTATTAGAACATGGAGACAAGATTAAAGGAACTTACTTACAAATTTGATAGGAAAGTGACCCACATCTAGGTCATCTTATTGTGTCTTAGGTTCATGTAAGGTTCTGATAAACAAAAGCATTAATTTCTTTTCACTTTTAGTTGTGTTCAGGTATAATTTAATAAGAATCATTATTTATCTCATTTATTCCTTGGGACTACAAATTGTACGTTACCTTTAGGGCTAAAACGTTTGTTTGGGATTACTAAGGACACATTCAAAGACATTTTGGATTATATCATTGTGATACATCAAGACTGTTTACATCAGTACATCAAGACTATCGATGCATCAGCACAATCAAGAATTCATTCAGAACACCACTGGAATTCATTCGGAATACTTTATTTTTATGATTGTGGTATACATTTTTGGATTATTTTTGGAATTAATTCACAATGCTGTCAGTTGCATGTAAATTTTCATTTGTATTCGGGGAAATCAATTGTTTATCTAAGTTTACTAAACTTGTTGGTTTTGCTTTTACTGATATTTAGTTCAAGATCATATATAATCGTAACATTCACAAACAGCTTCAAATAAAAAAATTTCAAAGTCTTTTGGTAGAAATGAATACGAACACCCTATTAAAAATGTTTCTTAACTGGGGATTAAAATATATGGGGATCCAGACGTAATTGTTTTGTAAACCTAGAATTTCTTTCAGTGAGTTTAAGCTTGTACCAAAGTTGAGACGTTTCACGTAAGCCGGCCCAGATTATATAGTAAGATGACAAAGTTGATCACAATCACTGGTGACAAATTTGAGTTTGAATGTATACACAGTGTTTAGTATATCTACCGAGTTATTGCCTTGTAATTCAACTATGTTTGCAACTTGTGCTAGGAGGACTCCAATGCAGGTTATTTTGATTGTAATCGGTAGTCAAAGTTGCTGCTGTTCTGGATTAGAGATTTTTCGACCTGGGAACTAACTCACGACGTCAGATATGCTCTCTCATTAAGAGTGAAGTGACGGGGTGGAATTTGCAGGCCTTTGATTTATCGGCCCCATGTCTAGCTATCAGACCCTTTATAATTTTTTAGTAGCATTATCAGACAAGACCCGAGACAGCGAGATAATTGATAAAATCTGCATACCGTCTTGCTCTCGCTACAGTTCTAATGAATATCACTAACTAAGCATAAACGAAATAAATGCCTAAGGTAAAATTTAAGATGATTAGGCCGTTTGATCAAGATTAAGTCTCTCTCTCTCTCTCTCTCTCTCTCTCTCTCTCTCTCTCTCTCTCTCTCTCTCTCTCTGCGCAGTATGATTTCCAGGGCGGTCACGTGCCCCCTTGACCCTTGCTGCGGGCGCGCGCACGCACACACACACAGACATTCTACCTTTGTAATACTAGTACATAGATTTAGTCAAATGATTATGTAACGATATCAATGGTAAATACACCCATGTTGCAAGAAATGGTTGCAGTGTTTGTTGATTTTGGTAATGTTGCCAGGAATGAATCGGTCCGGTTAACTTTTTTTTGTTTTGCATTGCTTTAACGCCATATTTACCACGTATTAGGTTATACATGCTGTCCAATATATTTGGTGGAGGAAGAACTAGGCGAATCCCGGGAAGAACCGGGGACCAGTGGGTCGCTATTGACCAGCTTTCTCACATATCCACGTTAGCCAAGCCGAGACTCGAATCCATACAGACAGGGGTTAGGTGTCAGTAATACATAAAGGCAAGAGCCTTTGACCACTCTGCCACCTGAGGTCACTTATTATATTCTTAGTTTATCAATTTGTTGTCCAAAATGATGATATTGACAATAAAGGTGATGACGACTATGGTTGTGTTGATGTTATCCGGTTTAAATATTTTTGCTTGAAAGATGAACAGTAACTAATATTTAATCATCTCTTGAAAATAATTAGATTTCTAAAGGAGTAATTCACCATCAAACAATAAGAACATTACACTGACATCAATATATCAAGTACTTACATGTACGCAGATTTATCTATACAAATTCAAAATTATTAATGCAATTCAGAGAATACTTCAATTTCTAGTAAACAATGCTAGATTTATTCCAAAGGTTTCATGCAAATAGAAATGAACAGTTTTGAGCAAAATGTCAAGTATTAGACAGTTTTGATAGTGCAGATTGATATTTTGCGTTTGCCATTTGCTAATCAAAATTCGTCGATAGCATTAAATATATAATGTGAATAACAGCAGAACTCCATGTCATGACGGTATTCAGACAGTTTTCTGTCAGACAGCTATAAACTCAGTTGTCTCTTTTGTACATAGATAATAATCGTTATTGGTAACATCCCTTGGAAGAAAACGGGAAGACAGTCATTGGAAAGAATTAATGGATAGCAAGTCATACTTTTACCGGGAGCAACATTTTACAAACAAAATGTCATATTCAGCTAGTTAGGATGAGATGAAGAAAAAAAAAACGTACAGGATTTTAAAAGCAAAATAATTAAATTCATTCCTTTATAGGGGCATGTAAAGTGTTATAAAAAGTCTCCAATATATTTTAGCATAACATGTCATACATTTTATGAATGCACTCACATAGACGATCACACACACGCGCGCGCACACACACACAAACACAATTAAAAAACAAAGAATTTGAGTATTTACAGATAAAAAATTTAATGTCAAGGATTTTGCATTGATTGGATATAAAGAGTAACAGTGTAGATTTAAAAGCAAATAAAATATGACAGTAAAGCAAACACATGACAAGTAAAACTTTATCATAAGTGTATCTTTTCTCAAAAAGTAATTGCAGGAGAGGCATTATGAATTCCCATGTACTCATAATTTATTATATTGGAACAAAACGCAAATATTGATTTGTTGGTTAAAACAGACCAAGCTTTTTCTCCAGTGTTATTAGATAAACACATTTTGTTTTATTTGCTTTCATTGTAACTTATCTGATAGATTTAAGCACGTGATAAAGTAAGTTTATAGTCTGCAAACAACTTTTTCATATTCATCCCACTAAATTATTAAAGTTTTAGTGAAATTATAAAGTTTCTTTAGCTTTACTTAATGAAAATTTTGAATTGATTATATGTTGAATAATTTTGACTTATTTCCTGTTACTTTTTCTTGTATTTTTTTCCTGTAACTTTTTACCTCGATGAAATGCTCAAAGAATATTGCATATCCAAAAAATATTGGATTTATCTTAGATGCAATTAATAATCTCCCATTTCTATCATTAATATACATTGCAAATTTTACATACATTTTGGAGAAACACGATTTACAGCTGAGTAGAAAATAACAATCTAACAGACGAATCCTAAACTGGTGTTAGGAGAGCGTTAATACAAGTGGATAGGCTTTTATTTTGCAAACAATGGTATAATAATGATTGTTATTCTGGGGTTTAACGCCATTTTTCAGCACACGATAGGCTATACATGGCGGCCAGTATTAATGATGGAGGAAGAAACTGGGAACTCCGCCCGCGGAAAGAACCACCGAGTCACGAAAAGCTACTGACAAGCTTTCTCACATATCTACATTCGCCGAATCTTAAACTTAGACTCGAAATTGGGCAACCGAAGCAACTGTCCCAATACTACAGGAAGCACCTATTCGTTACTAGATCCCTAAGAAAACGTGACACGGGTGCTACTATAATATGAGGTGCAGAAGCGGCCGAAAGCTTGTCCAACGAGAAAGTTGCAGCTGAAATTTCGATGAAGCATGTCGAGAAATCCAATATCACGTGATGGATCGAATTGCGTGTCTTTAATGTTCCATTTTCTATATTGAGATTTTAGATTTTATATGTTGAATTATACAGTAGTGGTTTAAAAGCTTATATTTCCTATGTCGACGTTTTACAGTGTATATTTTGAATTACACAGCGGTGGTTGAACTTTCATTATCATATGTCGAGAATCCCAAATTCAAACGTTGTATGCAACTGTTTGTGATGAAAGTTTCGTATGGCAAATATTTAGATTTCAGTTGTTGAATTTCACAGCAATAAGAAGCAGCCTCCTTGTTTAAAACTAACGCAGTCCATTTACGAGAGCGACCTCGAGCGAAGAAATACGTAGTAATTCTCTACCTGTAAATGGTAACTTTCAACTCTAAAAGCATAAAATGTAATGGCGCCTCATAATTAAATACACGAATGATGTATTTTAATACTCGATATTTGGAATTATTAAACTGAACATTGTGTAATGTTACTTTTAACACGAACAAATCATTTCATCATATAAAAAAAAACAATTCTGACAAGCACAATTAAATGTCCAATCACCGCTGTGTAATTCAACAGATACAATCTAAAAACTCAACATGCTAAATGGAAAATACAGCTTAATCAATGTGATCCAACATGTTAAATTGAAACTCGACATTAAAAGTTCAACAACCGCGGTGTAATTCAGAAGATACAATATAAAAACTTTATATTGGATGTCGAATTTTCAACCAGCGCTGTGTAACTCAGCAGATGAAATATAAATACTCAACATATAAAATGGTGTGTGTGTGTGTGTGTTTGTGTGTGTGTGTTATATATTTTTAATGAAGCTTTAACAATATTTCAGTCATATCGCTACGATGTCTGCAGTGTGACACTTATAGTGATGTCTAGCACTGGGGCATCATGCCGCAGACATGTAGCATGATGTTCCACCCAGTCACATTATCCTGACACCAGGTTGACCAGTGCTAACACTAACCTCTTAATTCTGAGCGCCAAAACTAGGCAGCTGCTAGTACCATTTTTGTGTAATTCAACAGATGAAATCTAAATACTCAACAT